ATTTAAGGCAGAGTGAGGTCTTTTGAATCGTTCTAGATTTGTGCAACGATATCGTCAATTAGATCTAAGTTGAGGGTTAATTCTAAGATAAAAGATAAAAATATATCCATGTCAAGGATTTTAAAGCACTTTAATAAAGGTATGATATTTTTCTGGTCAAAATACCGTCTGTCCGATGCATGGTAAACAATGTCCGATCCATGGTGAATTTTGAGTTATCACTAAAAACTCGATTTTAGAGGATAATTTCTTAGTAAAGGGCATATATTTGTGTCCCAAATTGATATTTTAAGCACAAACTAAATGGTAAACTCCATTTTGATAATTTTCCGTCGGTAGCGATATCGCTAGAACTTGTTGAAGTACAAGGGTATCCGATGCATGGTGAATTCACCCTAATTAAAATTATACAAGTTAAATTTCCGTGTGGGATTATTTATTTGTTTTCTGTTGTTGGGATGATAGTATTTACATAGTATTTTTTAAAATAATGTTTATTCTTTGATCTCGATTCTCCTCTGTTGAAGCTTCATGTCAACCAAATCGTGTCAGAATGGAGGTATATGTATGCCACTAGAAGGCGCTGTCCGTTGTTTTTGTCCAATCAAATATGAGGACGATTATTTTGAAAATAAGTTTTTACTATAACAAGAACACTTGTTTTCTTATCTTTCAAAGATATTTTCATTATCAGTTTGCCTTTAAGAAAGCTCTAAACACTGCACACTAAAGAGTTCCGTTTATAGGGTAGTTTTATGAAGTTATAGTTATATGTCCTTAGAAGTAAGATAGAAAAAATGGTTATTTACAGTTAAAGACAATTTTTGATAAATTAAAATATTCTTAGCGATAAATATTAGACTAATAATAAGTAAATGAATTCATTTTTTTCCATTTTCTTTCCGTATGTAAGTAAACATCAGTGATTTTTGCTTACGAATAGTGTATTGTCTTCTAACATTTTTCTTGCAGAAATAAGGCAGGTACCCTATGTCGAAAATAAACAAAATAACCCAAAATGCACACCATTATATTATAAGTCTAAAAACACTTTTTATTGATATTAAGAGCTTCCTACAGAGGAAGGCCTAAACACTGCACACTAAAGAGTTCTATTTTTATGGTAATTTTACGCTGTTAAAATAATCTGCTCTTAGAGGTGAGATAGAATTTTTTTTTTTTTTTTTTTTTTTTTTTTTTTTACAGTTAATCACACAATATTTTATAGACTAAAATACGCTTAGCATTATATTAGACCAAGTATAATGGAATAAATTTATAATTTCCATTAATTTCCCCAAATGTAGTAAACAACAGTGTTCCTGTTCATGCAGAGTCCATTGTCTTTGAACATTTTTTGTGCAGAATTAAGGCAGGTACCATATGTTGAAAATAATTAAAATAGTATAAATATAACAATAAAATTAAAGTGCACACCTTTATATGCTAATGATTTCTCAAGTCAAAAATACACCTTTTTGTCAGTGTTTAGAGCTTCCATAAGTAAGAAATCTTGTGTGCGCCATCAAGCTTATTTTAACCAAAATTGGTTACAAGGCATCCTTGGATAAAGGGAAGTTTCAATTATTACAATGAAGATCTAAGCATTTTTCAAAGGTAAGATAATCAAAAGAAAATTCAAAAATAGGATGAGGTCATTAAAAGAAATCTTAACAAGAACCACTGGGCAAAAAGCTGAAAGTTATGGGGAAGCATCCTGGGGTATAGTGTAGATTCTAAATTCAAATCATGACACCTGAGGGAAGGACGGAGATACAAAAGGGAGTTTTTTCCTTGAAATATAGAGAAAACATTCTTAGCAAGAACCACCGGGCCAACAAAGCTGAAACTTATGTTGAAGCGTCCTGGGGGTAGCGTAGATTTTAAAGTGTACAAATCATCACCCTCAGTGGGTAGGACTGGGCCATAATAGGGATCTCAGTTTTACATTAAAATATATAGAAGACAAGAGGCCCAAGGGCCGTATAGATCACCTGAGTATTGTGCAACAACTTTCAAACAATTAAATTTGGTTCGTGTTTTAAACCAGAGGCCATGAAATTCGCAATTCACAATTTTGAAAGAGGCATCATTGCTTATCATAATTATAGACTTAGCATACTTACTTTATTTACTTAATACCCAAAGGTAGATCAGAGTAACAAAGAGAAAATGCACTTCCACTTTCTAAGCAGTTGTGTACATCATCCCAAGGGAACCACTGACCTTGGGGCCACATATTTCAAAATTTTGCAAATTTTATCATAAAATGGTTGATAAATACCAATGAGCAGATCTCAAAGCATTAATTTATTTTCAGACTATGTACCCCCCCCCCACCCCTGACCCAGGAGGGGGGCATAAAAAGTAACCATTTTGCTAGATGTACCTTTCTTTATCATAAATATATTTTCTTGGATCAATGGCATAAACCCAGGAGCAAAGGAAAGATTTTCAAAGAATAAATGTATTTTCACTATATAATCAATAGAGCCCCGCCCTAACACCAGAACCCCTGACCCTGGGGCAATAAAATTCACAATTTTGGAAGAGGCATTCTTGCTCAACATAACTATGTACTTACATAGTTTATTCAATACCCAGAAGCAGAGAAGAAGATTTTCTAAGACTAAATGCATTTTCACTATATAATCAATAGAGCCCCGCCCTAACACCAGAACCCCTGACCCTGGGACCATAAAATTCACAATTTTGGAAGAAGCACTCTTGCTCATCATAACTATGTACTTAGTTAGTTTATTTAATACCCAGAAACAGAGAAGAAGATTCTCAAAGAGTAAATGCATTTTCACTATATAATCAATAGAGCCCCGCCCTAACACCAGAACCCCTGACCCTGGGACCATAAAATTCACAATTTTGATGAAGCACTCTTGCTCATCATAACTATGTACTTAGTTAGTTTATGTAATACCCAGAAGCAGAGAAGAAGATTTTCAAAGAGTAATGCATTTTCACTTTATAACCAATAGAGCCCCGCCCTAACACCAGAACCCCTGACCCTGGGGTCATAAAATTCACAATTTTGGAAGAGACGCTCTTGCTCATCATGAATATGAACTTAGTTAGTTTACTTAATACCCAGGAGCAGAGAAGAAGATTTTCAAAGAAATCATGCATTTTCACTATATAATCTATGTAGCCCCGCCCTAGCACTAGAACCCCTGACCCTGGGGCCATGAATTTCACAATTTTGTTAGATGACTCAATGCTTATTACATTCATGCCAAGGTTTGCCTGCTTGATGTCCAGGAGTAAAGAAGAAGATTTTTAAAGATTGCAATAACTTTAGTGATTTTGGCCCCACCCCTCAGGCCCCAGGGGGACCCCGACCATAAAATTCACAATTTTTGTTTCCCTTTACCCATAGATGCTGTATACCAAATTTAGTTGAAATTGGTTCAGTCGTTTCAGAGGAGAAGCTGAAAATGTTCAAATGTTAACACACGACGCTCGACACACGACACACGACGACGGACGAAAACGGATAGCAATAGGTCACTTGAGTTACTCAGGTGACCTAAAATCTTTAAAACTCTTCTTTTCTGGAACCACTGGGCAAGAAAACATATGTTTAATCATCCTGGGGAAGTGTGGATTCTAAATTGTTCAGATCATGGCACCTGGTGTATTGTGGGGCCACAATAGGGAATCTAAAGTTTTACATTAAAATATGTAGAAAAAATCTTAGAAATCTTCTTCGTAAGTACCACTGGGCAAGAAAAGCTGCAACTAATGTGGAATCATCCAGGATTTGTGCAGATTTTAAATTGTTCAAATAATGACTCATGGTGGTAGGAAGGAGCCACAATAAGGAATAAAAGTTTAACTTTGAAATATATAGAAAAAATCTTTTAAAATCCTCTCAAGAACCACTAGGCCATATATAAGCTGCTACTTATGTGGAAGTATCCTGGGGTAGTGTAGATTTTATATTGTTCAAATCATGACTACCAGGGATAAAACAGGGTTACAACAAAGAATAATTACATTGAAATATGTAGAAAAATATTGTAAGCTTCCTCAGCACCCTGTCAAATGCCAATCAGCTTACAGTGTTTCCATCCCGTGTAAATTCAGTTAATTAAATTTTATCAGGACTACTCATGACATCCGTCCACATATAAAGGGGGGCATCCTGAGCCCGTGGCATGTATTTAAACACCCTTGATAATTTACTTCACATTCCTGTAAATCATAACCAAGTTCCATTTCTCGTTTCAAATATTTCATTTAATAAAGACTTCAAAATTCAATGAAATATAACAAAATTAACAGTCAGTAAATCTATGTGTATATAAAGTCCTAGCTTAACATCTCTGGCCTAATAAAATACAGTGGATTGCGGTGTCCGTGCGGTGGAGAAATTATACGCTACTTAATTTGTATTAGTTTACATTGTTTCCTCATACCTAAGTTGCTAGTAATTTACAGTCAGTGATGTTGATGACGTAATATGATCTGATCGTTGTGATCGTTGCTGTTAAACTGGCGTTCGCTGCTCGCATATAAAACCTTCTATAATGGTCACGTGACCACAACAACCAATGAATAATTGTCCTTTCTGGAGCCTCTCAGAACTACTTTACATACATGTTGTGTAATACAAAGAAAATAACACCGCTCAAAATGTCCTTTCTACATGTAAAGTGGAAGCTCTAAATTCTATTCGATATCCATAATAAAATAAGTTCAACAAACAATCTGTAATAAAATGGACACACACAATCCTCGGCGTAGTAATACCGAACAATAATGCAAACACATAAGTCTTACGCTATACATTCAAGTTCCAAAACATTTCGTCAAATAAAACATAATTAAATGACAATGCTGCAATAAAATAACATTTAAGTATCAATTATGAATATTTGAGGACACGGACATTTCGGTGTTATTTCGATCATAACAATTGTAAAACAACAATGTTTATGTCACATGACTATTTTCTTCGTAAGAAAGATGGCAAGCGCCCAATTTACAACACATGTGATAATGCTGAAATAAATAAGTAAATTACAGTCGTAATATGGTAGATAATGACGAAAAACTGACATATAACATCTTAGTATCACTGTCCCTTACTGTCTGTTCAACAATATCTCACTAGATCGTCTAGTAACACAAAAACAGCATTTGTTTACATTACAATGTCGAAGTGCAATGTGTATTGCATCAATAATTCAGGTAAACAATAAGATAATGAAATAACATGAACAATAAAACATTTCTAATGAATTTACAACTGTATGCTACTTTACTTCACTTAAAAACACTCCATCATCAGCCTGTCAGTGCAATTAATATGCAAAATTCTAAAATCCAACCCCCATGCATTTTACAATATCTTTAAAAATCTTTTAAAAAAACACCGGACCAGAAAAGCTGCAGCTTATGAGGAAACATCCTTGGGTAGTGATGATTCTGAATTATTCATATCATGACTCCTGAGAGTAGGGCGGGGACACAATAGGCAATCCAAAGGAGCATCAGTTGAGTCAGGTGAAAAACAGCAAGGTCGATGTTACTCAGGTGAGCGTTGTAACTCATGGGGCTCTTTATATTTGCTATTGTCCTGATACAATCCTGATTCAAAACCAAATAAAAACATTTAGAGCAATAAAAGGATTTGATCTTACTCAAAACATCCTAATAACGTTGACTTTTGAAATTGAAAGACAAAAGGGAAGCACTAATAATATAGCTGCTTAATTAAAAAAATATATATAAGAATAAAAACTTCATAACATGCCTATTTGCATAATTGTTATTTTTTTTTGTCTGTTGTTTAATGTCCCTCTCAAGAATTTTGCACTCATATATATGGAGACGCAACCATGGCCACTTGCCGGTGAAGAGATCTGCTAATGACTTATACTGGGCAAAAATATAGGAAAAATATTCTTCTCAATAACTACTCGGCCGGATATGCTAAAACTTATGTGGAAACATCCTGGGATAGTATAAAGAACTTTATTCGGTTATAACCGATATTTGCCCCCCAAAATCAAACTTTGATGGAGTTAAATTTATTTAACTTCTTAAACAGGGGGGTATATGCTGAATTCAAAGCACTGAATATTTTCATAAGTAATGACGCCATATGTACGTAATGACGTCACAAATATGACGTAAATTTCAGTTTTTTATGAATTTTACAGAAACAGATTTTGTCGATATTTTGAGTTAAAGTTACCGAGCGCATGTGTGTTCAGGATCAATATTTTGATATAATGTGTAGAATGATAATATCACGAAATATGTCAATATTGTTTCTGAACTAACTTGCGCTCTATCAGTTTTGAAGCTAAAATTGTTGAAATTTTGTCCATTTTGTCCTCTTTCTGAAAGAGGATATAAAATCGGACTAGTTTGTGACGTCATAAAAACAAAAATTGTGAATACACTGTTTTGACACTATAACATTTTTTGGTAATTTATATTTCTCATACTATTTATTGAATACAGCATATTTCAGGAAGTTTTCAAAATTTGACTTTTGTGGGGGCAAATAAATGCAATATACCGCATGTAGTTCTTTGTTCAAATTATGACCCTTGGGGTATGATGAGGTCACAATGGGTATTGCAAGAGTCAAATCTGGTTTGAAATAGCATGGTAAAAGGTGAGCGATGTGGCCCATGGGCCTCTTGTTTCTTTTTTTTAATGCTACAAATTTAATTTAAAATTTAAAAGCCTTTATTCCTCTAAAAAATAAAATTGATGTTACATGTATAGCATCATACTTCCATACGAATATGAGTGGTTTAATTGCAGTATTCAGCCGTTTATTATTATTTTTATATAGACCTTTTTAAACTTATGATGAAATGGCGCCAGAAATGGCACCACCTTGTAAGTTATCTAGGAATGGATGTGGATGTCCCAATGGACGGACTGGTCCTAACTGTGATCAACTTCTACATACAGAAATAAAAAAAAATTGTTACCCTAATCAATGTCTAAATGGAGGAACTTGTTATACCAAAGATACAACGCAACTTTGTTACTGTGCTTTCCCATACTCGGGCAAACATTGCGAATATATTAGGCGTAAGTTTCCATTATGACCTCTTTTCTTTCTTAAACTCTTTGGTGTTCAATAATTTTTACGACTTCGGATCACAAAGCGAACGATATAAGGAGAAAAGGATACGAATTTTGATGCACCAGATACGCAAATCGACAAATTATGTCTCATCAGTGATGCTTATGCCGAAACGTTGGAAATTCGACACATCTAATGAAAAAATACTTTGAGAGCAGAAAAAGAGGTTCCAAAGACCAGAGCCAATTACGTCGAAGGATCAGGACTACCGGTATGCATGAGGGAATCAATCTTTATTTTGAAATTAAGTTCTATTTTGGCCAGGGCAATTTAAAAATATTTATCCGCATTTTCAAGTACCGATGTACTTAGCTCCTTGGCTGTAGAGAATCTCTGGCACAAAACAGTCTACCAGCAGATGTGAACTTATATTGTCCTTTACATGGATTTCTTCTCTTTTTTCCCTTTTTTTAAAATTATATGAAAAAGACTTCAATAAGAGTAATGTAAAAATGTTTTCAATATGGTTAACGAACATAATTGCATTTAAGTATTTCTGAATTATACTGTTCAAACAATTATTTTAAATTTTTCAAATTGTCAAAAAATAATGATAAAAGTGTTTAAAGTCTTCTTTTTGAAAGTATTGATAATCATTTCTTTTTTTCTCAGAGAATCAGAAACAGAGGATCCTTGTTTAAAAATCAATAATTTTTATTGTTTACTTTTCCGAGAAAGAATCTTCATTATTTGTATAATAAACGAGTATGGCTTCCTTGAAACTCAAATGAACCTGCATGATTTTCCGCTAAAAATAATACACTTCAAAGTGTTTGTGTGTATAGTGGTACGAAGTAACGATGTGTACTACTGAAGTAATTTTGCCTAATATGATAATTCACAAGATGTGAAGAATCCCAAAGTATGATTTTATTGAAGGAGCAGTTGTCTTATCTCATAAAGTCTAGATTTTAATTCATACTTAAGAACTAAGATATCATTTTTAGAGTTTCATTGGGATATGACCTGAAGTCGGTCACGTGATCAAATACGTGCCGACTTCGTGCCATTTCCCGTGAATCTAAAAATATTTTATTTCTTACATAAAACTGTATTTTCATTTTATATTCCCGTGACAAGGCAAAGTAGGCACTATTTAGACTTTGTTATGGAAGTGCAAAATAACGTTTCCACGATGTCATGTGACATCACAATCTTAACTTTCCAAATGGCTCGTGCAACTTTCTTTAAGGAATGACTCTAATTCTTGGCCATATTATCGAGTATAATCTGGTTTGGGTCAGTTTAAGCTTTATAATCCGCGAAGCGGATTATAAAAAAGCGGAAACTGACCCAAACCAGATTATACTCGATAATATGGCCAAGAATTAAAGTCATTCCTTATAATTTAATTTTAAAACAATTAAACAACTTTTGATGTAAAATTGTGTTGCTTTTTATAAGTTCAAATTTACCGCGCAATAATACAACCGTAGTAACGAAAGTGATTTGAAGCGAGGGGAGGTAATAACTGATACAAAGATCTAGCAGCCATGATGTTTGTTTACACGAGGTAAGAAAGTGTAATTGTTTAAAGTTGAAGGTACATTTATTAATTTTGGAATTTTCCATGGATTCCGAGGACTGGAAATGAGGGGATTGCATGGATATGATGATTAAGCTGGTCGTCAAGGGGGTGTGTCCCCATACCAAACCAGATTATACAAAATGTTTTGCGTTCCTTTTTGGAATTCAACCAATGAGAGGCGAGAATACAAACAAAATTAAATTATTTCCATATGCAAGAAAATCGGATCATGTGACCAACTGCATGTCATTGAAAATTGAATTTCAATGTCATTTTCATTGTTACATAAGGAAAAACATCAGCAAATGTTAATGCTGTACAAAGTGTAGAAAATCGTAAGTGTTGATGGTATAGACTTCTGGAAAATTTGATTTAAATTTTCTAAAAATTTCATTAGAGATTGTGAGGGTCCACATCTAATTTTCGCCACATTTAGAATATGCTGTATAACAGTGCGTTAGGTTGAAGTTTTCCTTTAGTGTATTATATATTTCTTAAGAAGTAAACATGTGAGGTTTGTGGAGCATTTGCTAGACCCAATAATATATCTTTATTTGTAATAATTTTTATGAAGTTAAGAAATCCATTATTACTGTAGAACTCATTTTCTTCACTGGTAACTGACCAAGAACATAGTTATGTGGAATAAGTCTGCTTCTTCCAAAATTGTGAATTTGATGGCCCCTGGGTCAGGGGTTCTAGTGTTAGGGCGGAGTTATACTGATTATGTAGTGAAAATGCATTCACTAGTCGATGTTCGACCCCAGTTTAAGATGTCGGACATGTCGATGAGATGTTGAACCGTTTACTACACAGGATTGAGGGGGTCTATTTTGCATTCGTTGGAATTCGGAAGAAAAACGAAATATACATCATGATGTGTCAAAATGAAAGTCTAAGGTAAAATAAAACATTTATTGACTGTGTTCTTGGACAAAATGCGTTTTGTCGACCCCTGGAATTTGACATAATAAAATAAATAAATATTTGCTTTGCACTTTTGTAATTTAACGATGCAAAAAAAAATCTGTATTTATACATGTTATATGAAATATGGAATACATAAAAAAGTTTTTAAATAAATTTTCTTAATAATCCATAATAATCCATGTAATAGAATTGAATTCAAAGTATTATTCAAATTGGACGTTTTTTTAATTGAATACTGGAATGTTTATCATATGCCCGTAAAACGAGTCTTGTTTTGTGCAGTACTGACTCTTCTGATAACTGTTGGTAGGAGATTCAGTTAGTATTTGAAAGCTAATTTATTTTGTAATAAATGCTCTTTTCAATTCAAATACTTGTTGATATCATTTTTGGCAAAAAACAGAGCAGAGTAGATTCTGGCAGAAAAACTGAGGATTGGTATTTGATGTAAAAATAGACGATGATATAAAAAAAAACCACTTTTAATGCTTTTTAGTACATACGCAGCCAAAGTAGTTAGAACTTCATCGTCTTTTCCTCTGGAATTGGAGAGTTCCAATACTTATAGGGATTTTGTGTTGCATTTTAATGTCCATATATGTTTTACACTTCTTCTAAAACAAGTTTGGATAAACAAAAGATCTCGAATGTGTGTTTAAGATTGGTAATTTTTGTTCATTTTTCTTTGAATTGTTTCAGAATTTTCATCAATTGATCTTTTCAAAACCTTTAATTATGCATGCTGAATTTTGTTTATCAACATCTGATGACAGTATGATCTTAAATTACTGTAATAATATCTTGTAAAATATCAGTAGGTAGTTAAGAGATGTTGCGTATGTCCTTGAACGGCAACTGTATGCAACATAAACTGTTCTGTAATATAATGTTTTTATGACGCACTGTAAACAATTTGTCACTTTGCGTGCCTGCACTGTTTTTCAAATCAATGAATATATTGAAAACTGCTAGAATTTTTATCGTTATTACTGCGTTTCTAGTAAATCCATATGCATGTATGCTGTGATGTAGCAAATTTAATAGATAATCATGTACATGTAATTAGCTATCATTTCTGAAAATAAAACAGAGAAAGATCCTCATACTGTAGATTCCTTATTTTTCGCGAGTACTTTTTATCGCAAATTGGCTCTTAAACGTCAAATCGCGAGAATTATAATTCGCGAATGGACGGTTGATCAACAGATTTTACATAGATTTCAGCACTATAAAAGTAAAAGCGAGTAATATTTTTTCACGAGTGATGCTTCTTGCGAAATTACGCGGAAATTAATTCCTCGCGTTTAATTAGGAATCAACAGTATACCAAAAAAAAGTAATACATCAGTTACTTGTTACAAAAATTGTATCCAAAATTTTTAGAGAACTAATATTTATAAATCAAATTACGATTTTGCTCATTCTCTTGTATAGCTTACATCCAGTTATTTTCACAAATATAATAAAACGTGCTACTGCATGAAAAATCATGCCAGGATCCATCGCCAAGAATTGACACGCAATTTTCGTTTGTATCATTGTCTGGTTGATTAGAATACCAGTTTGTGTACGTCATTGTCTTGGAAGAGTGTTCCCAGTAAAACGTGCCTTCCGAGTTTGAATCTGTACCCCCGATCCACCAAGAGTCCCCAGAGGCTGAAATTAACAATATTAAGGTACAGTTCTGTTCAACTTTCAGCGAAGCTGAGCTGAAATGTTGTATAGTACAAAATATGCAAAACTACAATATGTACCTTTGTCTTGAATCCATTTTTTCTCAACTTCAGTTTCTATTGCCAAAAGGTGTGCTCCCATAGAAATGCAGCTTTCCTAAAATGAAAGAGAAGATTAAAGTATTCTAGTTTCGTTTCCCCCCGACACTCAGTTACGAGAAGATTTCTCCGATATCTCCGATGCCAGGTTCAAGAGTTTGCCAAAGCGCACATCAGCCAATTTGTTCCTGAATAAATCGCCACACCTTGTGAAACTTTTTCCTCATCTGGTAAAGGGGAGGGAATCATTAAATGTTTTTTTTAATTCTTCAAGATAAAGTAGTTAGATGAGAGTTTAACTGTACTTAATGGGTAGGTGTGGTGTACATTATCTTCGGCAAAATTATTGTCGAAAGCAAAAAAAAAAGTAGTTTAACCTAAAGACATACAATACATTTCATCATTCGTTAATGTCTTATTTCCTTCATACTGTACGTTTTCATTATACTACTATATAAATTCGAGTTGAAACCAGGAACAGGTGTTCTCGTCTTTGCACATAGAACCTTTTGAATAAATTCTGTTTCGTATTCATGAATGCAAAAAAGGTCGGCTAATAACAAGGTGCAATTTGTACACATGGAAATTGCAAGACTGTTGGAGGACGTGATCTCCAAAAACTACATCGATTTTGTAAATCAGAAAATCAAGCGTGTTTTTATTATGAAATTCAGAGAACTGGTGATGCCATCGGAATGGTTTTGACAAAACTTTCGAAATGAAATATGACAAGGTAGGTACATTTACGAGTCCATTATTGACAAAGTAGTCGTCTATGATATCCAAAAAAAGGGATTTGGGGATTTCAGTATCCATATTTGATTAATACCACCCTTAAAAATTGCAGTTTTTATCTCATTCTGTAAATTCCATGAAATTTTATTGAAGATAAACCAAACAATCAAAGTGTACAAAACAACGTCATCATTGATATTTACTATATCAACTTCTGCGTACTTAATTGTTACGAGCATTGGCATTTAATTGAGACCTGTTCGTGCTGGTTGTCTTGTATTAATTTTGTTTACATTTTATTGCAGTTATGTTATATGATAAGAAAGGGCTTAGATTTTACTTAACTTCAGAAAATTCAAGTTGTTTATAGAAGCAAAGGGAGCTGGCATTCAGAATTATGACGTCGTTGGACGTCATGAAACTAAACGACGACGTCGCCAGGTGATCATATAATTCTTTTTATTTAGGCCTAATGATGATTTGGCAATTATCAGCGTATCAAGCTGATATTTTTAACACTTCTTAAACTTTTGTTGTTTTATGTTCCTTATAAATATTGTAATCAGCGACGGCATGGAATTAATTTTATCGCATCAGTCCATGAACATTTAAATGTACTTGACAAGAAAGGAGCTTCTTGTATTCTCCTTAAAACTATTGGGTTTGATTAAAGATCAAAGCTAGATACAATAGAACCCGCTTATAACTACGTGCTAAGGACCAACGATTCTGTTTTGATAATAAAAGTAAGTTTTATCTTTAAGAATTGCAATAAATTTTTAAGCGTCAACTGATTTTAAGTGTTGTTGCCATAAACGTATTTTACTGTTTTGCCTTGCCTTTCGTTTTAGGTTGTTCCAGCCCTACTTCTAATGGTATCAAAAACAAAATCTGGCTGCACTTCTGAAACTTCTCCACCACATTCCGAAATTCTTATTCTTTCATTTATAAGATAAAAGAACTATTTATTAGTTAAAGTATATACCTTTGAAGAACTCCATTGAAGTCCCTTTTTCACAAAGCAATAACTATTCTCTTCGTTCTTTATCCACGACACAGGACAGTCTACAATATGAATATCACAACCATTTGAACATTAGAAATTGTATAACAATAATACTGCTGTTTTGATTCGAACACCTCCTGTTTGAACTTTTGCAAAGGGAAAACGCAAAGAATATTTAGCAGTATCTTTGCGATTTTCCCTCAGTCTTTCAAATTTTGGTATAATGATTTTATAATTCTTGACCGGTCACGCTAGCCTAGTGGTAGAGCGTTCGCTTCGTGATCGGGAGGCCCGGGTTCGATTCTCGTTGCGTCATACCTAAGAGGTAAGCAAAGACAGTGACTGTTCCTTCGCCAAGCGATCGTCACTTAGAAGTGAAAGTCACTGGTCTTTCGGATAGGACCTTAAAAACGTTAGTCTCGTGTCACGGTAGGCGGTAGGCGTTGGCACGATACAGAACCCTCACTGCTCAATGGCCATGAGTGCCGAGTATAGGTCTAAATTTGAAATTATTCATCGGTATATGGTGACATCTCTGTATGAATGAAAAATTGTCTAATGGGATATGAAACAATATACAATAAATAAATAAATCTATAATTCTTGAATTTGTACCGTAATTTCATCTAAACTTGAAAGTGTTGGCCAGTCATAACACTTATATAAAGATATTGAAACACAAAGAAATGTTTTTAGAATATACATATATTATTTTTCACAGACTTTGAGTTTTCCCAAAGAGCTGGTGCATATTATTTATAATACTTTACACTTAAAGGTTGTACTGCAAAAAGTATACAAAGTGTTTCTTCAATGCTTTCCTTTCAAATTCAAAGTAATTAAATATATCAATGGTAATGTAAACACAAAGCTTAGCTTCGCTTAAGACTCTCTGTAATTTATTTAAATTTCAAAATTTTCTATTTCATTTTTGTATTATCCCCCTCTGTCATTTTTGTATTTCCCTCTGCTCTCTAGACTATAGTAAAATGTTGTCAAATATCGAAAAGTATACAAGAGACCACAAAATGTAGAGCAAGTCTAAACAAAGCTTTATTTCAGATGATTTGATACGCAATAGCATGCTCTACATATGAACAAATACTAAAACAAGGCAAACTAATGACAAATTAGTTGATGGATTAAAGGTGTCAATAAATTTGTTTAAATTTATCATGACCTTATCAGCAAATACAATCTATAACTGAGTCAATTGTGACTGGCGTTTTTCATACTAGTTTAAGGCAATAATTTACACGTTTGGTCGTCTTCAGATTTTTCCGCTTTTACAAACCATTTCAATGAGCTCATGGCAGGGGATGTTTATTCCTATCTTGATTCCATCTTAGATGTATTTGGAAGGTCGTCATGGGGCTGCTCCCAATTTGTATCGTATAAATGGACTTTGAGCTAGAAAACTGTTCTTTATCTCCATATTTCATAAACACTTTATTTGGTTTTTAGCTCACCAGAACTGAAAGCTCAAGTGAGCTTTTCGGATCACATTTTGTCCGGCGTCCGTTTCTCTGTCCGTCTGTCTATCTGTAAATTTTTCATATTTTCGATTTCTTCTCTAAAATAACTAGACTAATTCAACCAAACTTGACACAAAGTATCCTTGGGTGAAGGGGATTCATATTTATTAAAATGAAGGGCCACGCCTTTATTCAAGGGGAGATAATTTAGAAATAGTGATAATTTGATGGTATGTTTTAAAAATTTTCTTCTCAAAAACAACTCTGCCAGGAAAGATGAAAGTTATAGGGAGGCATCCTCAAGCAATGTAGATTCAAGTTTGTTCAAATGATGTCCCCCTGGGTTAGGGCGGGGACACAATGGCCGGTCAAAGTTTTCCATAGAAATATATAGGGAAAATCTTTAAAAATCTTCTTCTCAAGAAAAGCAAAGGCAGGATGATTATGTTTATGTGGAAGCATCCTCAGGTAATGTAGATTCAAATTTGTTCAAATCATGACCCCTGGGGCAGGGTGGGGCCACAATAGGGAATCCGTTTTTACATAGAAATAGATCGAAAAATTCTCTAAAAATCTTCTTTTCAAGTATTGCAAAGCGATGATTAGTCATATTCATATTGAAGCATTATCGGATAGTGCAGATTCAAGTTTCTTCAAATCATGACTCCCGGGTTGGGGCGGGGCTTCAATGGTTGATCAAAGTTTCACATTGAAATATAAAGAAAAATGCTTCTAAATACTCTTCTTCTCAAGAATGGCAAAGCCATGATTAGTGATATGTATATGGAAGCATTTTCAGGTCATGTGGATTTTTGTTTGTTAAAGTCATGATCCCTGGGGGTTGGGGGGCACAATTGTAAAGGGCAATAAAGCCACAGTTAGTCAAAGAAATATGCAAGCATCCTTAGTTAGTGTAGATTCAAGTTTGTTCAAATCATACCCTCTCCCCTTTAAGGATTGGTTGGGACCATTATTGGGTTTAATCTTTTCAATGATAAACTGATTTATGGTGTTTTTTCCTAGCCACAGCGCTCAGGTAAGCGATGTGGCCCATGGGCTTATTGTTGAATAATGTATGCGATAACAAAAACATGTGTTAATGAGAAATCAATTTCCTTTTTAAAAATATATTTTTATTTAGATGTTTTTGCAGAAATATAAATTAGACAGATTTTTTTTTTAATAAATGTAATTTTTACATTCAGGAAAGGATTTCATAGTGTTCAAGAAATATCCATAACCCTCACCCTCTGGTGAAGATATAAAGATGAAAGAATTCAACAAAAAAGCAATGCAAAAATTATTGAAACAAGCACCCAAATCATACAAGAGCAACCTAACATTGAATTGGAGAAAATTTGTTCATTTTCTTTGACAAGTGAAAATGTTTTATTGAATATCATAGGTAGATTGATTGACTGTATATTGTTTAACGTCCTTTTCGAGAATTTTTCACTCATATGAAGTATATAAATACCATTTGCCGATGGAGAGCAAATTTTGTCCTATACTCGGCACTAAGGGCCATTGAGCAGGGATGGATCTTTTTTCGTGCCAGCACCTACTGGGACACGGAACCTCGGTTTATACGGTCTCATCCTATGGACCGGTCTCCACGTCCAACGGTGGGATTCGAACCCGCGACGTAAGGATTGACTCTTTACTTCGCGACTCTAGAGCAGACGCTCTAACGACTGCGCCACGCGGGCGACTCTCATACGTAGACAAATACTTGTAACTACACATTTAAGTAATGTTGCTTATAATAGGAACTTAAAAGACTGGTTATATAATGAAAATACATATGTTTAAGTTTTTCTTCCTTTTATTTAAATCATCTTGTAAGATATTATTGTGCAAGAATTTCAAGGTAGAATTATCAAAATAATGTTGTATTTAACAACTTAATTATATTCATTTTTAGATTTGAAGTACGATATGATTGTCTAGGGTTTACAACTTAAATAAATCATCTTTTCTGTGAAATCTATGATATATTGTAATGGATCCAGCATTTTCTTTTATGTTTTGTGGTTGCTCGCGTTGGACAGTTGTTCGAGTGTCTACTCTAGACTTAATTCTAACGTTGTGGGTTCGATTCCCACTGCGGGACATGGAGACCGTATAAATCGAGGTTTCGTGTCGCAGTAAGTGCTGGCACAAAAAAGATCCCTCACTGGTCAATGGCCCTGAGTAATGAGCATAGGAGACAAATTTAAATCTCTCCACCGGCAAGTTGTGGCGTCTCCATGTGAAGGAAAAATCATCGAGAGGAACTTAAAACAACATAATACAATCAATTTTTAGGAAACATTCCGCTAAATTACTGACTTTTTGCAAACTTGTAGTAAAATATGTTTTTAAAAAATATCTCAAAAACCCTTACCGTTGCTTTTAACAAAGTACAACCAATTTCTGTTGTAGGGAAAGAAAGGGTTTGTCGTCACCGAACTGTCCAAAAGTAGGCATATTTGCAGTGAGTAGCTATACAAAAAGGCAACACAAGAGACCATTCCACTACAGTGGACACTGCATGATAGTTTAGTCACCGATGTATTGAACGATATTTCATAAGTTATGTTATTCCCATCAAAGTGTTTTTGGATGTATTTCTGTTCAATCAGTAAAAAATCGAAAATTTCAACGAGAATCAGCAAATATAGTGCACACAATTTTCGTTGGAAAACCATAATAACCTGGGTTTTAATATGCCTGTGAGAATGAGTTTCTTTTCTAAGGATCTATGCACGACTGTGCAAAATATTTCTAAAATATTTGCGTGTGCTTTGAAGAATATTGATGTAATAACCACAAAAGAGATTTTTACAATTATGAATCATTTATGCAATACAAACCTTCTTTGAAATACTCATGTGAGTTTTTTGCATGTAGCCAATTAAACATCCCTAGAGAAAAAAGGCAACAGAAATTTCTTTTTTAATTTGTTATAATTTATGCCATGAATTGACTTTCTAGATATTTCTATTCACAGAACCTACAATCTGTAAACGATGTACAAGTAAATTAAGACATTTAAGGTTTCGCCTCATCTGTCCGTCTGTTTCTCACTAAGTCAAGATGTCCATCTATTCGTTAATCTATCCCTCATAGGTTTCTGCATTATTTCTTTAAGCAAACAGATTGAGTTTATTTTTGGTACATGAGTTTACCTATTTTTAAAAGTGTGCATAACGCCCTGCTTTTAAGATTTTATTTATATATATACAGAATCCTGATATACTTTTTATAGGAAGACAATTATATTTGTGTCTCTTGAACTAAGATTGAATTGTCAACAAAGGAAGCACAATTTATAATCTTTTTTTTTTTTTTTTTACAAATTCAGTCTTGTGTTTCACCATATTTCAAATTTAAGTCCAACCTTGTGATTTTTACATTGATTGCTCCACACTTTAAAATTAGAGTTCCAAGGTATTGAGTATAATAAAATTCAAAGTACCAAGACACTACTGAAAAAAGGGGTCAACATTATCATCATGCTAGATTTCACAAATATGCTTTTTAAATAAGTTTTGATAACAACTTATTTTTTTTATTAACACACTGAAAAATA